TATTTTACAAGTGATACAACATCACTCAGATTCTGACGGTATAAGAGTGAAAGATAAAAAAAATATTCCGAAAATAGTAACTTTACAAAACACAAAGTGTTATATTCTGATAGTAGTTATTTTACAATACATAGAGTATCGCACAGATTATAACAGCAATTATTGTAAAATACACAATGTATAAAACATATTGTGATGGATCGTCACACATGTTTTGACAGTGGTTATTTTACAATACATAGAGTATCGCACAGATTGTAATAGCAATTATTGTAAAATACACAATGCATAAAACATATTGTGATGGATCGTCACACATGTTTTGACAGGGGTTATTTTACAATACATAGAGTATCGCACAGATTGTTATAGCAATTATTGTAAAATACACAATGCATAAAACATATTGTGTTGGATCGTCACACATGTTTTGACAGTGGTTATTTTACAATACATGGAGTATCAAAAAGAGTCAGATAGTATAAATATCACAAGATACAAAATTTCACTAATTCTGAGAGTGTTTATTTTACAAAACACAAAGCATAAAAGATATTCTGACATTAGTTATTATGCAAGAAAAACGCGAATCGCAGATCCTGACAGACGTTATTTTAAAATACACTAAACATATTTAATCCGACAAAGGTTATTTTATAAGAAAAAGATCGTAACACAATTGTTATCATAATTAATAGCCTATACGAGGTTCAATTTTTAATAAGTTATTCATATAATATAATTACCAACTAGTTTATATTCTACGTTTCAGCTGCTGCCATCTTTAGGGAAGTTCTGAGAAGGACTCTTTGTGGTAGCAATGATTCTTTCCTGGGCCTTCTTCATAGAAAGGCTAATGTGTTGTCTACCTGCTGGCGGTCTTCCCGAACTTAAGGCAGCTACTTAAATGATATCCAGGTTTTTCCTGAGTGTGTTACTAATTAGTTGCATGTAGGTTTAGTTTGCCTTTCTTTCACTCCTTTGTGGTCCAGGTCTCAGTATTTCTACATTACTGTATTTATTGTACGGTTTTCGTCTTTGACATACTGACACTGTAGTTATTTTAGAATATACAAAACAAAATAGTTATGTTAGAAAACATGAAGCGTTACACAGTTTCATAGAGTACTTATTCTTCACAGCACCACACAGACTCTGACAGTAGTAATTTTGCAACAAATGGCGTGCCATAAATATTCTACTGGTGGTTATTGTAAAAGAAAGAAAGCGTTACAACGATTCTTACAGCATTAATCTCATAATGCTTGGATAATCATGCAGTTTCTGACAGTAGTTAGTTTACAAGAGACGGAGCAGCACAAAGATTCATAAGATAGAGATTCTGAGGGCAGTTGAGAAGTTATCTTCCGAGACACCGAGCATAACACAGATTATAACAATGGATTTTACAATGTAAATACGGTTACAGAGACACTGATTCATTTAACGATAGCTATTTACATCAAACTGAGCATTAAAAGGTTCTGATAAGAATAATTTTACAAGGCACAGTTCGTCTTAGAGTTTCTAATAGTTTTTATTTTACAAAACACATAGCGCTTTATAGATTCTGAAAATAGTTAGTTCAAAATACACAAAGTATTACATAGAATCTGAGGGTCTTATTTAATAATAGATGGAGCATTTCATAGGTTCTGACAATAGTTAGTTCAAAATACACAAAGTATTACATAGAATCTGAGGGTCTTATTTAATAAGAGATGGAGCATTTCATAGGTTCTGACAATAGTTGTTTTGTAAGAAAGAAAGTAGAAAACGGTTATTTTAGAAGTCACTGAGAGCCACACAGATTCTGGCACAAGATATTTCCCAAACACGAAGCATTAAACGTATTCTGACAAGCTATTCTGCAAGACATAATCCTTAACATATATACTGACAGTAACAATATTAAACACGCGTTACACAAAAAGTTGAACAATTGTTACTTTACAAAAAACGGAGCATCACATTCTGACAGTAATTACTTTACAAAACACGAAGCATTAAACATATTCTGACAAGCTATTCTGCAAGACATAATGCTTAACATATATACTGACAGTAACAATATTAAACACGCGTTACACAAAAAGTTGAACAATTGTTACTTTACAAAAAACGGAGCATCACATTCTGACAGTAATTACTTTACAAAACGCGAAGTAAGAAACGCATTATAGCAGTAATTACTATTGTATAGAACATAGAACGTCACACAGATTTTGATGTCATTTGTCTTAAATCGCACAGAAAATATTCACATTTTGATATTAGTTAACTTGCAAGATTCAGAGAATGTATATATATAGGTTCTGACAGCAGTTATTTTACAAGAAACAATGCACTAAAAACATTCTTATAACTCTTGGAGAATGAAACAGATAATAGATATTGTACAAGAAAAGGCACTGATCGTGACATAGAACACAACAGTATTTATTTAACACTACAATATGACTTACTGGGATTATTATTATTTTAGAAGACAGAAAGTTTAATATCAGTTCTCGTAACATTGCATTTTCTTATGGTTTTGTTTACCGTTCGTTTATTATTCATTCTATCGTTTAGTTTAGCTATGAATTTTTAGTTATACTTATTGAATTTCAGTATGTATATATTATGAAACTGACAAAAGTTTCCTCTAGCAGTGACGTACCGATATTAATATTGTGAAAGATTATGTAAATTAGCTAGCCATATGAGATGAAACTTCGTGATCTATCCACTAAATAAAAACTTGCTTTAAGCTTAGAAAAGTTGGTTCACGAAATATAGTGAAACGTATTGTTGTTGTTTATTTAATCAATATTGTTATTGTTCTTGAAATTGTTTAAATTCGGAATACTGTGTTGTCTTTTTTTTGGAATTAGGTTTTTCTTCTTCTGGTTCTTTTTCCCGATTGCTTTCTTTATTGAAACAATTATTAACGTTGATATTTATGCTGTATTGTTCATTAACGTTCGTATCAAGTTCTGGTCAG